AGTATAGGCGTACCTATAAGTATTCGTTTACTACGCCTAAAACAATTAGGATCGCCTATTACCCGCGGCCTAGTTAGCCTTAAGTAACCGCAAGAGCTTAGCGACTAGCCTTGGCCTATTCTTCCCTAAGTATAGGTACTATATCGACCCGATTTAAGTAAATAAAAAGCCACTAAATAACCCGTAAGAGTTTTTAGCGTATAATTTACTATATCGCTTATAAGAAATAACCGAATTCGCCTAAGCTATAATAATATTAATATAGTTATAGAATAAGGACTCGGGGAATAAAGAGCGCTTACTAGTAGAATAGTTTAAGGTATAGAATCTAGTTTAGCTCTTATTAAGGAACTACTTAACGCTACGCCCCTTATAAAAGCTCGATTAGCTGTATCGTAAATACCGCGTTATAAAAGTAATTAGTCCCTATATAGTCGAATTATCTATACTATTATAGATTTACCCCTAATTCTACGTTAACCTATTACGATATATAAGCGATAACCCTTTACCGGGTTGAATTATCGATAACCCCTAATTACCGTCTATTCGCGACTCTATAGATAAGAATAAATAGGCTATACAAGAAGTCCTCTATGCGAGGACTAAGAGGCGAGGAAAAGGCGTTTATAGGGAAGGACTAGTAGACTAGGAAGGGTATACTAAACCTACCTAGGAGCCGCTTAAGGTATTAGCCGAGGTTAGCGCTCTAGACAAATTCGAGCGTAAATACGGACCTGCTATTACTAATAACGGACAACTAAAGTAGTATATACGAAGTTCGATTAGGAGGCGAGGGGAAAACGATTATATTACGATAATAAGGAAGTAAGAGGTATTATCGTAGGTCGGATAGGCCCCGCGCCCTAGCCTTAATTAATATAAGCCTAAATCGATATCGGTAGGATTAAAGTCGTTATTATCGGGATTATCGGCCTTAATAAGTGCCTCCTCCTCCTTTTCCTCCTCCACCTCCTCCTCCGATACCACGGCTATTAATATATTATCCTAACCGGCCTACCTGGCCTCGCTCTCCGATACCTTATTATCGTTATTATTATTATTATTATTATTATTATCGCCGATAATGGCGCCGCCCGTGATAGCGTTATTAACGATAGAAAAGCCCCGCTTACGCTTAAGGAGTAGCCGTATCTTAGAGATAGCGATAGAAGTATAATATATAGCGGCGATCTCCCGGAATAGCCGAGTCTACCCCTTTAACTAATAAAGAATAAGTAAGTCCTTATTACTACTAGTAGCGAGGATAGGAGGAGGAGTTATAGAATATAGACTCTTTTCCTATACGAATATAGGAGGGACCGGGCCTAAGCTAACTACCTCGCCTATAACCTTCTAAGGAGGTAAAAAGACTAGTATAACAACCTCGCTAACGACCTTTATTAAAAAAAGCGAGGCTGGTCTAGCTACTTTACCAATAACCTCCGGAAGAGGTAATAAAGCTAACTATATTATTACCTCTTTTTAAACCCCTTAAGGAGGAGGAGGGGCTAGTATAGCTACCGAGTTAAAGGCCTCTGTGGGCTAAACGACCGTAGGTTATAACGATATCGCTAATAACTCTATAACCCCGGTCGTTTCGGGTATCCTAAAAGTCTAAGCGGGTATCTAAGTACGAGTTTTCGATCTACGATTAGTTAGTGGATTAGTACAATATCGTAAAGATAAGGATATTTATATCCTTAATCTAGGGTCTATCGCGGTAAATAGTAGCCGCCTCGAATAACCTCCGCGTAGAACTTAAAAGGTACGTAGGAAGAGGAAGGTATATATATATATCTTCGTAGAATATATATATATTATTCTTTCCCCCGATTAGTCTAGTTTTAGTAGAGGTGTTTATAATCCTGCTAAGCGATATCGCGTGTATAGGAGTCGCATGGCTTAGCACGAACGCTACTAGGAGGGTTTTTAGAAGGATAATTACCGCCTAAGGGCTTTTTCTTCTTCTTAGGTAATAGCGACCTAGTCTACATCGATTAGTTATTATCGCTAAGGGCGTATCGGGAAGGGCTTATATTACTACTAGTCGCACGCTTAGTATTATTACTACCTTTATTATCGCCGGGGGCTAGCGCCGTCTACTGAACCACTAATATTAGCTTACTACTTTAAAGGGAGCATGCACGAAAACTAAGACTTACCTTTTTAACGGGGAAGAACTAGCTTAGTATCTTCGTTATTAGATATACTACACGAAAAAGAGTTAGAGATATTATCGCTACTAAGAGGGGAGCCGCTATATATGGTATAGGTTATTATTATTATTATAATATTACTAAGGATAGAAGAGAAAAACGGGAAAACTATAACTACGGAGAGAAGGCGGCTATATTATATCTACGGAGGGGAGCTACGCGAGGGTAGCTTATATTACTATTTTAGGTATATATATAAAGGGGGTTATTAGAGCGATATAAAACTCCTTTAATATCGAGGTAAGGAAAGAATAAGATAAAGGACCGCGTTAAGGGCTTTTATCGCCGCGACGTAGGGAGGAATAGAGCACTTTAACGGCGCGTAGTTATATAACCCGACCTAACCCCGGAAGGAAGGGGGAAGGGGGGTATATTACGGGTTAGCCCTAATTAAAAGGATCTGGCTATACACCGGATCCCTCTAACTACGTGCTTACTTACTACCTCTATATCGCTCTAGCCTCGCCACGATATAGTTAGCGTAGCGCTATAGACGTTTCTTCCTTTTCTTCTTCGTCTTCTTTAGTTCTAGATAATCTAATTTTTCGGCCTTACTTAGTATAATTAACCTATAACCAGCCGTTTACACGAACTGCCTAAGCTAGTTTATCGACCTTTTATAACGGCTTGTCAAAAGTTGTTCACGTATTAAGGCCGAAAATATAGATTATTCGAATTAAGGAAGGAAAGGAGGAAAGGAAAAGTCTGCGCAGTGTGTAGGCGGCTAAGTATATATAGGATCGCACGGTCCTCGCTAGGAGGTCTGTGCTTCTTAGTCCCGGCTACTACCGGGGATTATTCCGCGAGCTATAGCCCGTAATATACCCCCCCGCCGGAGGTAAGGTCGCGGTCGTGTTATAGTCGCCCGGTCATAACTTTGTATTACTCTAGCCTCCCTACGGAGTCTTTACCACCTAAATTAAGAGTATAAGAGACTTATATAGATATAACTTAATATAATATATATACACGAGATTTCTACTCTATTAAGTTGATTATATAAGTGCTATTTTAATGTACGATACCTAGTCGGACTAACCCTACCTAAAAGAAAAGAGGCTGGATATTCTGACTATATTTTTTGGATATTCCGACTATAGTTCCCCTCGGACCTATATTTCTAACTAATCAAAATCCAGTATCCGGTCACGCTCTTTACCACACCACCCGTTAATTCAATAACAGCAATAATAACAGCAATAATAATAATAATAATAATAATAATAATAATAATAATAATAATAATAATAATAATAATAATAATAATAATAATAATAATAATAATAATAATAAGGCGACGATAACCGAGGGCGAGGGCGAGAGAGAGGGTAAGGAGGGCGAGGAGGGCATAGAGGGTGTGGATGGTATAGAGGGCGTGGAGCTATCGTAACGGCAATTAGCTTTAATAGAATAGACGAGCTTATACGTTAATTATAATAATAAGGGCAGCAGGGACAGGAATAGTATACGTATAGTAGGTTAGATATATAAAGAGACGAGGTATAATGAGCTGGATTCTATAAGGAGACCTTAATTAGTAGCGAAGAACGAACCGGCGGTCTTAAGCCAAGTCGTTTAAATTATATTAACTACTTCCTTTAATTAATTCGTGGGGTTAAATTACTCTAACGTTAAAAACGTTAAAAACGTTAAAAAAGCTATTAGAGTAATTAACGATTATAAATAGTACCGTAAAAACTTGACAACTTCGGGAATAGCAATAAGGACTTAGAACTCCACTAACCCTACCGTATTTTAAAATAACTAATAAAATAAGGGAATTTTATAAGGTAGTTAACCAGTAATATTAAGTAGAAAATCCTTATCGTAATTAAGGCTATAGGAGGTAGAGGGTTATCGAGATACGTAATTTACGATCGATTTAGCCTGTGTGGGGAAATAGGTAATTTTCACATAAGCAGCCTAGTGCTATTCCCGAAGTTATTAAGTCTTTACGGTAGAGTATGCGTGGTATTCCGAAACAGGTTATTTATAGGTCTATGTCAGAACTATATTTGGAATATCCAAATAGTATAGTCGGAATATCCAGCCTTTAATAATAATAATAATAAGGCGGCGACGATAACCAAGGGCGAGGGCGAGGGCAAGGGAGAGGGCGAGGAGGGCGTGGCCATGGAGCTATTATAACAGCGATCGGATTTAATCGAATAGATAAGTTTATACGTTAATTATAATAATAAGGGCAGCAGGGGCAGTAACAGTAAGAGGTTAGATACATTATTACACGCTATAGCGTGCTAGACTTCCGCCTAATAAAGGGTTATATTAAGGAAGTCGTTAGGTATAACCGCAGGACTATATGATATATAGTAGGCGACCTCGGGTACTTAGTATAGGCCTCCCCGCGTGCAAAGCGTAGTATATATAGTGCCCTGGACTTATATTCTTAAGTCTAGAGGAATTGAATATAGATGATTTAGCGGTACCTTAACCTGATTATTTTGACATATATTAAGAGATAAGGTATAAGGAGCTGGATTCTATAAGGAGACCTTAATTGGCAGTAAAAAACAAACCGCCGGTCGTAAGCTAAGTTACTAAAATTATATTAACTACTTCCTTTAATTAATTCGAGAGATTAAATTAATCTAATATTGAAACGTTATAAATGTTAAACAAAACTATTAGAGTAATTAGCGATTATACGTAGTAGAGTATATATTCCGAAACAGGTAATTTATAGGTCTATATCAGGACTACAGTCGGAATATCCAAATGGTACAGTCGGAATATCCAGCCTCAAAAAATACAAAAACGCGGGGCTGGGGCAATTAAACGCCCCCATCAAAGAAGACGCGTTTTCGCGTCTTTGTTCGGAAATTCAGTTCAACTCCTTCATGTCTCTCATTCCTCTGTGGCGTCAACACCGACTCTCGATACCTACCACTTGCTTCTTATACCAGACACAGCTCGACTATTAGTTATCGCGAACTTACCTACCGCCCGTCGACTTTCTACCCGAACTCCAGACCGTCGTAATCGAACCCGAATAAAGTACCTGACCGTAATCAAGTCGCATATATTCTGGCGACAGCTTCGGCACTCTGTCTCCCAGTCCCTTCGCTCAGTTGACTCCCCGAGCGTCATTTCTTCAAGACTGGGCGATATCGGCCTCATACTTGCACGATTGGTTCGGTAGAAGCAGATACAGGGGCTCTGTATACGTGGTCCCCATATGCGGCTTGGCTCGAGAAGCCCGAGTTCGGCAACCTTATAAACGATCATGCCGTCTCGTGCACCAGCTAAAAGGAGATCGAATGCCGGCAGATCAAGACCAAGGCCTAGCGATGTTCAGCGTAGGCAACCCCCATTATTGTTCCTGTACCACTAAGTCCTGTCCAGTATTGACGAGATCATGCAGCCGGTGACCCTGTCCCGCAACTGCCTCAAAGAAGGTACCGGCCTGGAACAGTTGCACTGCGTGAGATACGCAGGTATCAGAATAGCACCGATCTTCTGCTAAGGAAGCTACCTTTCGCTCGATTGGTGAGTTCCAGCTTCCGATGCGCCGATACGCGCGCCCCCGCCGTGACCATCAGAATGAAGCGGGGATTCTAATGAGACTCGACAGGTTCGGGAAATTGCGCTTGGCTTCCGCCCCAGAGACGAAGAGTTGCGCTGGCAATCACAGGCCATAATGGCACTGCAAGAGGCCGCCGAGGCTTTCATGGTGCATCTGTTCGAGGATACAAATCTGTGTGCTATACATGCCAAAAGAGTCACCATTATGCAAAAAGACATCCAGCTCGCGAGACGAATACGCGGCGCATGGGCAGGTTTGGGTTGAGCGTTTGCTGGCATCGCGGTCGAGACCAAGAAAAGCCAGATACTTGGGTCTTCAATTGTTAACAAATGTCGATAGACATGGGTCTATGTTTCTTGCGGGTCCGGGATGGGACTTGGAAACTAGAGCCTCGTCAAGTTGTCATTCTGTGGAGATGTTGGCTTGATTACTTCTTTTCTGGCATTCTGTTGATAAGGTACACGAGCCGTCTTATCTGGCGTTATGCAAGGAGTCTAAGGTAGGAAGGGTGGCGGGCGCGCGCACTGGGCTGTTGGTACCTGTTAGATGATTACTATATTATTGACACCGCCTTGGGTACAGTACAATTGGAAGTAACCTCTCCCTTGGTCAGTCGTGTTCAATGCGGTTTCTCGACAAACATGGGTTGTAACCTGTAAGCAATTCGCGCTACATGCGAAGTATTGCGTAGATGATTACATCACTCGAGCAGGCAGGAAAGGTGAAATTATCGGGTAATCCCTCCCTGTAAGTTACTTCACGAAGTACCTTTTATAGTGCTGGGTACCTCTGTGTTGGTAGGCTGTTTTAAGTTGGAATTGCACCTTTGGCTATCAAAAAGAGTCGATCCATTTTCCCAGTACTCGCTTTCGTACTTCACGTAAGACTCGGGTTGAAAGACGCGTCGGTCGAAGTCTGTATTGTGTTAAAAAATCCACTATCATGATGAATCGATTTGCCCCTTCCCGCCCTTTTGCGATCAAAGCTGGCATTGGCCTTTGCGCAGTGTCCTTGATACAGGGCGGGGACTCCAGGCGGTTCTGGCTGGATACTCGCCACCATGGAGTAAACCACATGCACACCACCTCTCCCCCGCAGACTCCCCAATCTGGTCGGCGTCTAAGCCCCGAATTTTTAAGAGATGTGTCTCGAGGTTCCATGACTGGTGAGTCTGAAAAACTGCCCCGATATGTTGATCATAACAGGCATTGATGAAGCAACGCCATCGATTAAAGGATTCGGTGCTGGGCTCGTGGTATGCTTCTTCTCGAGGGTTATCGCTATGCTTGCCGGCGCAACCATCTTGACACTTCATGTGAGTTCAGCTCATTAGCCCATCTGCCGGTCAAAATGTCTCCCTAACGGTATTGCAGGCCCTCCATAGGTGCGGACTGGATGTCTCTAGGGTTCTAAATTTGACACAGTCTCTGGGCAGAGTGTCCTGGGTTGACCCTTTCAAGAACTCTGTATTTAGACTATGCTTTGCTGCTACCTTCACGCTGGCGGCTTTCGTCCGTTTCGAGTAGCACGAATTCGAAGGGCCCAAACCCCACCCCCCATTTTCATCATGTTCCTCTCATATTGGCTGTGTCTCCCTGGTCAACCAGGTGAGTGTCAGCGGGTCATCTTCGAACATCTGTTTGAATTTTCCCAGTATGTCTGCGTGATGGTCATTGAGCCACTGCTTCTCGAAGTCGGACAAAAGGCTAGGTGCAATAAGATTGCGGCAATACGGTACCATAGTGAGATGCTCGAATCCCAGGTAAGGTTTGTCACCAAAGGTGTGCTTTGTTGTGACCTCCTTAACCAGAGCGAGGTTTTCTATGCGAACCCCGAATACACCGTCCTCGTAATAGCCGGGCTCAATCGACACGACATTACCAGGCGCCAAAGCCACTTCTGCGTACTGGACACGCGTACCGATGCCGATTGGGCCCTCGTGGACGTTCAGGAATGATCCCACGCCATGGCCCGTCCCGTGTCGGTAGTCCAGACCTTCTCTCTACATAGACAATGTGTCAGTCTGAATGGCCCAGTAACGTCTTGGTGGTGGTACTAGGACGTACCCAGAGGAATTGTCGGGCAAGACAATCCAGCGCAAACCCGGTGGTTCCTTTTGGGAACACTGCTGTGTCGAGCGCAATATTCCCCTTGAGAACCAAGGTGTATGCAGTTCTCTCCGCCGCTGTAGGCTGTCCAAAATGCATGGTTCGGGTCACATCTGTAGTCCCATCCAAGTACTGCCCGCCCGAATCGCATAGATAGATGGACGAGGGGTCAATGACAGAGCATTTACGACGTTCAGGCTTGTAGTGGATGATCGCAGCACTATGGCGGACTGTCAGACCTAGATTACGGCAGTGTAATGGGCCACCGATGCTACTTACTTTGCCCCTGTAGAGGATATAGTGTCAAACGATAGTCCGACATAGTGCTCTCGCTTTGCACGGAACTCTTCGAGCTTGTCCGCCGCTTGAACTTCATCCAGAGTCGTTTTCTTGGCAATAAGTTGATCCTCCAGCCACGCAAAGTATTCGATCAATGCGGCCCCATCTCTGACATGGCAGGCCCTCATGCCCGCTATTTCGGTTTCATTCTTCACGGCCTTCGCGTCCTCGATGGGACTGCGGATCTCATCGACAAGGCCCTCTCCACCAAGTGCTCGCTTCAGAGCCCAAGACGCTTTGTTTGAGACGAGAATTCTTTTTCGTTCCGCGCCAGTACGACCTTTGTCTGCTGTAGAAGTCGCTTGTAAGTCTCTTGCCGCATCGAAAATCTGCCCGTATGGCTTGATCAAAACGCCGTTGCGATCAAGATGGGCCCTGCAGTCGTCGCTAAGCCTAGTACTGTCAACAAACAGCACCGCCGAGTCTAGAGTAACGATGGCGTAGGAAAAGAAAACGGGATTGTAAGGGATATCGCTTCCCCGGAGGTTGAAGAGCCATGCAACCTCATCAAGCATTGACACGACCAGAGCCTCCGAATCCCTCTTCTTTAGTTCCCGGCGAAGATCCGTGAGTTTCGTCTTGACATCTTTGCCCGCGAACTTGTCCGGCAGAAGCATGACAGGGTTCTTCGGGCGATATGGTCTCTCCTGGGCCCAAACTAGATCAACGAGGTTTTGCTCTAGTGCTTTAAGGTCTCTGCCGCCCGACTTTTCGATTTTGTCTGCGAGTTTTTTGGCCGCGGACCCCGATATCAACTGGGGATCTATGGCGACCACCTTGCTTCCGGCAGACTGCTCTGCCGACCAGTCTTGCCAGGTAGGGACATCTTGGAGGCCTTGCTTGAGCAGCAACCAGCTGTCGTCCAACTGTTGTGAAGCTTGGTTGAAGTACCGCCCATCAGTGGCCAGAGCTGCTTTGTCTGGTGTGACGATAGCACATCCAGCTGAGCCACTGAACCCCGAGATGAATTCCCGCCGGGCGTCACAGGCCGCAATGTACTCGGAGGCATGGCTGTCTTCAGACGGGATTACTATATGTGCAGCTCAGGTCAGCGATTTTCCGGTACACGGGGCGGGGTGCATACCATAAATATCGACATGCTGACTCCTCATCAGTTCTCTGAGCTTCGTTAGGCGTGCAGACGTCTCGACTCGCTCCATGTTCTGTACAGAGTCCTGACGCCGCGGTGATTGAGAGGTGCAGACTTTGCGGATATTTAACAGTCTCCTGGAATCTGTATGAACTGGCCCGTATCGTGTCGCGTGGTATGTTCGACTATGACTAGAGATCGAGTTGATTAGCGGGCGGCCGAGTATTATATCAAAGACGAACGTGGAGGCTCTGCCTGCGAGATTATCTCTTGAGTTTATTGAGTTTATTACCGCCGCAGGGAATGATCGAGGACGCATACTACACTACTTCGATCCATTAAGTCGATCTACGGAGTAGAACATGAGGGGGAGGGGTATATATATACCTTAATCCCTTGGGGCCTGACTGGGAGACCGTAAGTCCTCTTTTTCTTCTTCTTATTACTACGCGTATATAGCCCTAAAGCTATAGCGCGAGTCTATTAAGAAGACTAATCCTATAACGAGTTAAACAGTCTATTTATATAAACCTGTTAATACTAAAGTAAAATCCGTATACTAGCTAGAGCTATAGCAGACTAGTTATAATATTCCGAGATATATTTTATTAGTTACGCGCGCCGTAAAGTGCCCTAGCTTCGAAGGCCTAGCCGTAGTAGTATATACTTAATTACATATAGTATATACCCCGCCCTATCACCTAAAAGGATTAGGGCATATAAGGTATATTATTATTCCATTTATTACCATAGAAGCTAATAAATATCTCTTTTATAGTAAGAGAGCCATTATTCCGACTATAGTAACTGGTTATGCCGACTATAGTTCGGTTATAGACCTATAAATTTTCTTTTCCACAATCCTATCTTCTATATATAACTATATACGATTATAATAACCGTAAATACAAAAACGACACGCCTATTAGCCACGGGCGCGTAATAATAGTAAAATAAATAAAACTACTAAGATAGCGATTATAACTATCGCCTCCCTCCTAGGATACTATTATAGAGGCACTATAATATCGGCGCTACGGTATAACCGAAAGATACGATAAACAGCGTTATTCTAATATTATATTATAGGCTATAGCTAGCGGAAAAGTCCCCCGTAGTAGCCGGGACTAATAAGTATAGACCTCCTCGTAAGGCCTATACGACCTAGCCTATACTTAGCCGCTTATATACCACGCAGACTTTTCCTTTCCTCTTTTCCTTCCTTAGTTCGAATAACCTATATTTTCGGTCTTAATACGTGAATAACTTTTAATAAGCCGTTATATATTCGAATTTATAAAGACTATAAGCTTCGACGCTTATATAGAATAAGGTCCTAGTTACTTTGCCCCGAGCCCGCTAATAGGCTAAGGGCAGGTCGTAAGGACCTTATATAATAAGATTAACGAACGCGTATTATAATATATATAGGAAGCGGTAAGGATATATATCGCCCCTATACACGATATACTCCCTAGCCTATAAGTAGCCATTAAAAGGTCTTAAATTAACCCGTACCTCATATCTATTTTATACCTAACATTTACCCTAGTCGTTACGTCCTTGCTATTATCCGGGCTCCTAGCAGCAGAGACTACTATACCTATCCTATATAGCGTTGAATCTAGTAAGCTAGTTAGCTTTTTATTATTACTATTATTATTCTTACTCTGCTATCCTATCTAATCTATAGGAGTCTAATTTAGACTATACGGTCCTTCTCGGGTAGCTATAAAGGGGAAAACCCGGGGTCCTGAGAAAAATCTCTATATATATCCTTACTTAGAGTAGTGCTATTACGGGGCCGATATAGCCCCGGTTTATCTTTTCTGCGTATCTAGATTATACCTCTACGCTAGTAGCTAATAGGAAGGGTAGCAGACTATAGTTCGGGTTTGCTAAGGCCGGTTATTAGCGAGGGGACGGGGGCTATAAGGGTGCCGCGGCGCCTCCGCCGTATAGCGGCCGAGGTACGCTATATCCGGCCTTTTTACGTCCCCGGGGACTATTACTATTATCCTTTCTATTTACTTAATAAAGAGAAAGGTAAGGTAGGCGTTCCTGCCTCCTTTAGGTGGTAGGTGCCTTCTATATCCAGCGGTACATAGGAAGGGTAAGGCTTACCTATATCCGTAAAAAGTAGTAGATAGTTAATAAACGGCAAGGTCCGCTTCCTTTTCCTCTTATCTTCCTATAACGCCTCAAAGCTTACTATAGGTTTTCCTCGCGCTATACCTCCGTTTATAACCTTATAGGCTTAACGTCACGGCGCTAAACTAACTAGTGATATCTTCTAGTTCTCTATCCTTACTTTCCGTATTTTCCGTATAATTAGTATATAGTTTATAGGTAGGACTATAATAGTATAGAGTTAACTAGGTAGTATAGCAGTAATAGATATAATAATAATAACTTAAATAGCTAAACGATATAAGTATCTTAGTAATATAGTAGCGCCTTAGTAGTAGTATACTAATAGCCATAGATACCTTCTCCAAGTTATAGTAGCCGCTATTACGAACACGGTATAACCTATATTATACCGTATGTATACCCTTATAGTCTTAGAGTAGTATTATAGCGGTTAATATATAGTAGTTATTTACGTTATAGTAAGCGCCTAGGGATATTCCCTGATAACGTTAAAGCCTATTCTAATACTATAGGTATAGATACCGTGTACTTTTAGTATACTAATAGCCGGCATCTATATAAGGATATAAGTCGTCCCTTTACTATAGGCATACTATTAGGGTATAGGGGTGGGTAGGTTTAATAGGTCTCTAAGTCCTCCTCCCGCTACTAAAAAGCAGTTATATCGTTTTATAGAAGTCTATTAGGCGTATATAATAGCTAAGGCCGCCGGTAGTATAGGTATCGCTACGGTGAGTAGTCCTGTTTCGGTATCTCGGTAATACCGTGCTAATAGCCTGGTATTCTATAGGCTAAGGAGCGCCTAAAGACGATAGCTTTATCTGTTATACAGGCCGTCATTTAGGTAATACCTTCTAGTCACGGCCGTGGCGGCATCTTATCGGAGGAGTTATAGGAGGTATTATACCGAATTCGATACGTTTAGCGTATAACGGGTATCCTAGTAGATTATTATATAAGTAGCCTTAATAAAGTCCCTTTACAGCCTCTGTATAGTGCCGAGTTGGCTAATTATTCTAGGATCTTAAGTATATTAAAAGCGGGGTTAGTACTTTTAAGGGGAGTAAGGAGGAAGATAATATGGAGTAATCGCTTTAATGCTACTAGGGCCCTAGCTTATAAGGCTCTTATTTAATTATAAAAGGACTATTATATCCCTCCTACCCCGCTACGGTATTATAGCGTTTTTATAGGCGTCCTACCCCCCCTCCTTACCGCCCTTAGACTCTTAGGCGCGGAATTCCCCCCTAGATAGGATATCCGCCGCGATATTACTATAGCGGATATATAGGGGCGCCTTAAAAGGACTAAACCCTAGGTAGTACTAGGACCCGATAAGCTCCTAGTAGGACTCCTAAAAGTATATAGACCTCTCTTATACTAAAGACTAAGTGTTATCTTTATAGCGTGCCTCGAAAAGGGCTATTATCCGAAGAGGTGCCGCTACACTACTATAGTAGTCTTTAAGAAGGAAGGTTGGCCGCCGGCCGACTATAAGATAGTAAAGGGCTAATAATCGATATTACTCCTTAATATAATAGGTAAAGTCCTTAAGGGGATAGTAGCTAACCGTATCGCTACTATTACGGAGGAGTATCGGCTCCTCTTAGACGGGTAGATAGGTAACCGGACTAGGCGGAGTATAAAGATAGTAGTATAAAGAGTTACAGAGGCTATAAGGGCGAGCTAGGCCTATAGCAGCACCGCTTTAATACTCTAACTAGATATTAAAGGCGCCTTTAATACGGTCCTTTACTCTCGCCTTCTTAAGATACTTAAAAGGAAGGGATTCCCCCAATAGCTTACTACCCTAATTTATAGCTTCCTTTAAGGCCGTATAGCCTGGCTATTACTTAATAGCGAAACGGCCCCCCCGCGGTACCTTTATAGAGGTATACTATAAGGCTCCCCGATCTCCCTTATCCTCTTTATTCTTTATATCTTTACCCTTTATAAGGAGCTAAAAAGGGTCCTTAAAACGATAGTAATAGAATTTACTAATAATACGAATATTATCGCTTTTAGTAGAACGGAGGTATAGATATAGTATTACCTCGCCGCCGCGTAGCATGCTTACCTAGACTAAGAGATAATAAGCGGACTATAATTCGAACTAACTAAATACGTTTATATCCCCTTTACGAAATCACGCTAACCCTCCCTTACCCCGCTCCCCCTTAACGCTACTCGGTGCCGGTAATAGAGGCGATACGGCTTTTAGGCGTTTAGCTCAATAGGAAACTCGATTTTAGGCGATACGTAAAAAAGGTAAAAAGCTAACTAGCTACCTAAATATACGCCCTTTTAAGGCTTAGCGTGGTAGTATAGGGGTATAGCTTCGTAGACGTAAAAAGGCTATACCTCATAGTAATAAGACTAGTAGTTACCTATTACGCTTTAGCTATTTATAAGATAAGGGCCGGCCCCCGGTATAGCCCCGTAGCGGCACTTATAGCGGTATAGAACCGATACCTCTGATTAGTAGCCGGTACCTATAAGGCTACGCTAGTTAGGGTCCTCGAAAAAGAGACCTTTATCCCCTCTCTTAACCTTTACCTCTTAAGCCTAAGCGCCTAAAAGATCCTTTAGATATAAGAAGAAAGGACTAAAGATAAGATATTAGCGGGAGTATACGCCGCGGTAAGAGCCCTAATAATACCGAATCGGTATTATAGGACTTACGCCGCCCTCGCGTGGATAGTATAGCTTACCGCCCTAATAACCTAAGCCGGAACCTCGCCCTCGTAAAAGGCTATTATAAGGGAATAGGGTTAAGCCTAGGCGGAAGTATAGCGGCCCTATACCTATACCGTAACGGTACTAAGCCGCCCCCTGATATAATACTCCCTCCGGAAATATAGAGGACTCCTTAAGCTATAAAGCTCCGTACTTACCTAAATTAGATTAGACAAACTA